ACCAGGGAGCATGAGGACTGTGCCGCCCCAGGACTGAACACCTGCCAGGTGAAATCCCACAGTCCTCCCCCCAAGCCCTGCATTAGGCCCTAGTGGAGCCGATGAGGCTCATCCGGCCTCATTCACAGGCAGACGCCCAGAGGCCATCTGACCCACAGGCAGCTCCTGTGATCCCTGGTCCTCTGTTAGGACACTGGAGGCTTGAGACCAGAGATTTGATTCTTTCAACGCAACTTTTATTAAAGGCAATAGAATGAGAGCATCAAGCCAGAATTACAGAAGGAAACAGGGGGGTCTTAACGGCCTGGGCAGTGGAGGCTGGGCACCAGAAGCTGTTGGGGGAGGGATGCACGCACGGTCAGGTAAAATAAACATGGAGTCTGGGCAGGGCGGTGCTCATTGCAAGATGGGAGGATTTCACGCACCGGGCACCGAGGCCTGGGCACATGTGGCTTTCCTAGCTCCTCGAGAAGAGATTTTTCAGACTCTGGAACAAACGCTGGATGGCGTCCCACACGGCATGGGCGGCGTTGCTCAACGTGTCCCTTAACCAGGTCAGTGCCTCCACGATCTTCTGGTACACGGTCTGCAGCATCTCCTGGAGACTTTTCAGCATGCTGTCCCAAAAGTCGGACTGGGCCTGATGGGAGAGAATCACAAGGTTCCAGGGCCTGTCCCCTGGCACGCCGCCTTTGATTTCTTGCCATTGCTAAGGACCAGATCCCTGGGGCCCCCTGGACTTTCCTCAGTGTGAGGACACCTCCCGGGCTCCCGTCTCCCCAGGCCTCCACCCCCGCCCCCCCATGCCTGCCACAAATGGAAACTGACACATCTGCAGCCTCTGTCTAATGGGAGGGACACACGAGCAAGTCCATCTTTTCCCCCAAAGCCACCCTTCACCCAAATCTGGAGAGACTGAGGGTGAGGACATACACCCCGGGCGGATGGCGGACACACCTACCGGGTGAGTATTTTTTGCGTCAGAATGTCGGACAGTAATAAGGAATTTCTGGAACGCTACTTTCTGTGAAGAGACGCTGAGTTGGAGACCCCAGGCCTGGCCCGTCCCCCTCCCGGGTCTCAGGTGAGCTGGGGGAGCTTCCTCAGCATCACGGAGACCCAGGACCCATCCCCCCAACATACCTGGGGAACAGTCTTACCGCTTTGATCTCCCAGGTATCTATGGGGTCATAAATCTGTGGAAGAAACGAGGACACTTAGGGACTGTGTGCCTTCTTCCGCCACCCCCAGAGACTCGATGACATCTACCACCAAACAGGAATTGCAAGGAGGAAGAATGTGCTAGCCAGGCCTGCTCCAGACAGAAGCCCACAGCCCACGCTGCCTCTTAGCCTTGTGAAGGCCATATGGGTGAAGTTCATGAATTTGTGTGACAGCCAATGAAGGAATGTGGTAGATACCGAGTTTAAGACCGGGTCGCGGGCTGGGAAGGTGGCTTAGTGGTAGAGCACTTGCCTTGCATGCGTGAGGCCCTGGGTTCCAGTCCTCAGCACCACGTAAGCAAAAAGGAAAAAGCCGGAAGTAGTGCTGTGACTCAAGTGGTAGAGCGCTAGCCTTGAGCTGAAGGGCTGAGGGACAGCGCCCAGGCCCAGAGTTCAGGCTGCATGACCGGACCCCCAAAAAAAAAAGAAAAAAAAAAGACCGGGTCACAAAGAAAAACAAAAAGCAAAACCAATCCACTCTGGCGAGAGGCATAGCTCAAGTGATAGAGCACCTGCCTAGCAAGTGGTTCAAGCCCCACAACCACACTACTAGAGATATACAAGTAATTACACAGAAGCATATTTATAACTTAGCCAAAACGTTAGGTTTTGTAACTCTCAAAGAAGGAGGAATTCTTTATGTGTTCTGGTCTGTTTGGTGGTTCTTAGCCGTGCTGGAATTTGAACTCAGGGCCTTGCTAGGAAAGTTGCTCAACCATTTCTACATGCTAGGCCAGGCTGTTGCGAGTCCTCCAGGGAGGAGGGGGATCTGGGAGTCCTGCCCGGTGCTCACGGGGACAGAGCCTTACCTTGCTCTCATGGGCGTCCTGGGGGTTTGGAGCCTGGGAATCCTTGTCCACAGCGGAGGAGTCGGAGCCAGAGCGCAGTCTGTGATATAACTCCCGCCTCACGTCACAGGGGAGAGGAGCGCGGTCCTGGGGAAGATGGTGGCCGGTCAGGGTCTGGATGCTCAGGGTGTGTGTATAAGCCCAGGACTGACCCCAGCAGGACTGTCCGGCCTCTCTAGGAGTCCTGGAAACAGGAAAGACCTCCGGGCTTTGCCCAGGGCCCCGCCCTCCAATCCCCTCCCTGGCCTAGATCACAATGGTTTGAAATGTGTGCTCATGAGTTGGGCTGTGTCCAGCACACCTACCTAGAGGAGGCCGGGGCTCGGGCACCAGCCAGGCAGCCTAGCCCCAGCCCTCCTCCCTCCATCCTATGCCAACTGTGCCCAGGCCTGCCCTGGGACCAGAAGGAAAAAGGGGGCAAGGGAAGGAGGTGAGAGAGGGCTTATTCTAGCAGCCTTGGTGACTCACTTGGCTGTTGCTTGCATAGACCGAATCCAGGGATTCCACCAGGCTTCCGCCCAGTGCATCCTGCGGAAGAGAAGAGTTCAGGGCCTCCTGGTGCCACTGTGGCCTCCAGGGGAATCCCCAGAGCGCCTGGAGCCCCGCTCCCCTCATGTGGGCACCTCCCCTAAGCCGGGCACCTCAGTCCTGGGACTAAACTCACCTGTAACGCTGACAGTGCCTATTGAGGGAAAAAAATCATTTTGTTCAATCCGGTCTCCAGTTCCTGCCTGTCCTCAGCTTTCTACATTTGCCTCTAACTTGCTCCAGCAGGGAGCCGAGAATCCCCTCTCTGTCCACACCCATTTCCCTCAGGGACACACGGAGCTAGGGGGCTGCAGGGGACGTGGCCAGTGTGAGGGATGAGCACCTGCAAGACCCCCCAGTCTCCCCCCCCCAGACGCAGATGCGGAGAGACTAGGTGCACCCCAGGGAAGGTGGGGCGGCCTTTCTGTCCACGTCTTGCAAGCTGAGGGTAGTGGTCATGGAGGCCTCTGTGTAAACACCCCCTAGGCCCCCAGGACTTTCTGGCCAGAAGTTCCTCAGCATCCCAGATTGAGATCCCCCCAAGACACTCCCCCCCAACTCCCCCCCCAGCACACACTCCCCCCCCCCACCCCCAGGTGCCAGGGGCTCCCGCATGTAGCCAGAGCTTCTCAGGAGTCTCCTCAGGGTCATGGTTCAAAGCCAGCCTGGATGGGGAAGTCCAGCTCTCATTCACCTTGGCGTAGCACATGGCGGCTCAGGGTCCAGGGGCCTGGTGGGAAGGAAGAGGTGAGGGGAAAAGCGGCTCAGAGGAATTCCCCACCAGACCTTGCACCCTCGGGCTCTGCCCAGCTGGTCCTGCGCCTCAGGCTCTGTCCAGGGCCCTGCCACCACACACCCAGCCCTGTCCTGCGGCCAGGGGTGTAACCCTTGCTGAAATGGTCACCTTTTGTCCAGTCCTCCTAGCTCAAAGGCCAGCAATGTCTGCTCAAGAGGAGGACCCAGGCTGCCCTAAAGTAGAAGAGGAGGAGGGAGGAGCAAGGGAGGGGAGCATCGCATCTACATCCTTCCTCGGGCAGGGCCAATGGCTGCCAGGGAGACAAGATTGGAAACCGAAAGGAAAAGTGAGGGGCAAAGCCAGCCTTACCTCCCCCCTTCCTCCAAGCCTGGATGGGGTCCAGAGCTATTTCCAGGACTGCCCGGGGCAAGGGTGGCAGGGGGAGGGTTCAGACTGGGGACAGTGTGTGGCTAACCCCTCAGCTCAGTGAAGGTGGGGTGAGCAAGGGTCAGAGCTCTCAGGTGTCTGCAGGAGGCAGAATCCACCGGGAGAGCGGCTGGCTCCAGGCTCCCGGCTCCCGGGGGGCGGCTGAGCCTAGAGGCAGCTGTAGCTGCTGTCACTGGGTGGGCACCCCAGGTCTGCAGGGGCCAGGAGGGGCTGACCCCAATACAATCATTCCACACCATGCTTTCAGACTTTGTTTTTTTCTTATTTCTGTTTATTTCTCCTGCAGAACTATCAGAAGAACAAGCAACCTGTGGGCCAGGCACGTGGTCTGTAATCCCAGCTTCTCAAGGGACTGAGACCTGAGGGTCGCAGTTGACAGCCAGCCCAGGCGGGGAAGTCTCAAATGAACCACCAGAGAGCTGGAAGTGGGGCTGCGGCTCGGGTGGGAGAGCACGCGCCTTGAGCAAAAGCTCAGGGACAGCGCCCAGGCCCTGAGTTCAAGCCCCAGGACTGGCAAAAAGAAAAGATGTTACAAGAGTCCTTTTTGTCTCTTTGTGTTCGGAACACAAGTTCCTTATCAGACATATGAATCGCAAATCATCATCCCCACGCTGAGGTTTGTCTAACCTTGGTGGTGGGGTGCTCTTTCCAGGTTTCTCTCTCTGGTCTCTCCCCCCCATCATCCCCGGGCCCTGGGGGCCATCCCTCCCCACCGGCGGCTCAGGAGCGCTTGCAAGAAGGAGAGGCGATGGCCAGCCATGTCTATTGTCTTCGGTGGCGGGCTGGGTTTCCCCTCCGGTTCTCGGAGGGGGGCTGGGGAGGCGCGGGGGTCCTTGGGGGCTCGGAGGGGTCAGGTGGCGGCGGCGGCGGGGGACGCGAGCCTCCCGCCGTGCTGGTCCGGGGCAGTTTCCTCCAGGCTGCCCAGGCCCGGGCTTCCGCCGGCCTCTCCGGGCCGAGGCCCGTGCGCCTGGCCCTCCAGGGGTGCGGGGCAGAGGGCTCCACGGGGGCGAGGCCGAGGCCCGGCGGCGCCCGGGAGCGGCCGTCAGGGCCCCTGCCCATCAGCGCCATGGCTGCCCGGAGACGGCGCGGTCGGCCGCGGGGCAGCTGGAGGGGCCGCGGCCGGGCAGGACCGGGGCCCACGCCCTCCCGTGCGCGGCGCCAGCGCGGGCCGCGCGCGCCCCCTGGCGGCGACGCCCTCCCCCCACGAGCATCCCGTCCCGTCCGGTCGGGTCCGGGCTGCAGGAATCCGCCAGCCCGGTGTCCTCGGGGCTCCCGCGGTGGGACGGACGACGGGGCTCGCCGGCACCTCGCGCCGTCCCGGCGCCCGGGGGCCCCGCTCGGCTCAGGCGCGGGCGGCGGCGGCGCCCCCCGCCAGCAGGGGCAGCAGGGGCAGCAGGAGGGCGGCGCGCGGGGCCGGGGCCCGGCTCAGCTCGCACCGACAGTCGCAGCCTCCGGGCCTGGGCGTGGCCTTGGGGGGCCTCGGGGCGGGGCAGTCCAGCCACGCGGGGCCCAGGGGCTGCGGGGCGTCCGGCTCCGACTTGACGCTGCCCTTCGGGAAGCGCCAGAAGTAGAGGCCCTTGAAGAAGTAGGTGTCCCCTGTGGGGAGGTGCCGTGAGGGGCCGGCCCGGCGCCCCGACGTGCGCCCGCTGCCCCCGCGCCCCGACGTGCGCCCGCGCCCGCTGCCCCCGCGCCCCGACGTGCCCCCGCGCCCCGACGTGCCCCCGCGCCCCGACGTGCCCCGCGCCCCGACGTGCGCCACCCCCCCCCCGCTGCCCCCGCGCCCCGACGTGCCCCCGCGCCCCGACGTGCCCCCGCGCCCCGACGTGCCCCCGCGCCCCGACGTGCCCCCGCGCCCCGACGTGCCCCGCGCCCCGACGTGCGCCCCCCCCCCCGCTGCCCCCGCGCCCCGACGTGCGCCCGCGCCCGCTGCCCCCCGCGCCCCGGCGTGCCCCCGCCCCCGGCGTGCCCCCGCGCCCCGACGTGCGCCCGCGCCGGCTGCCCCCGTCCCCGGCGTGCGCCAACCCCCCCCCCCCCGCTGCCCGCGCGCGGCTCCCCGCGCCCCCACCTGCGTTGCCGACCGTGACGTCGTCCGGCGCGGGCGGCGCGCCCTTCCACAGGCCCAGGTCGCGCGGGTACCCGGGGTCGGGGCGCGCCGCCTCCTCGTCGTAGCGCCAGTAGCGGCGGTCGCGGATCACGTAGGTCTTCCCGTTGAGCGGCCAGGAGAAGGCGGCGTCCGCCTCCAGCCCGGCCGGCAGCCCGAGCTCCGCCAGCGGCCGCGCCGCGCCCTCCAGCTGCCGGTCCCGGAACACCCAGAACTGGGGGCCTGCGGGGCGCGGGGAGCCGTCCGGCGCGGGCCCGGGGAACGCCGCCGGGCCCCGACATCTCCGCCCCGCCCCGCGCCCCCGCCCCGCGCGCGCCCGCCGCCCCGCGCCCCCGCCCCGCGCCCCCGCCCCGCGCGCCCGCTCACCGCTGAAGAGGAGGATGCGGCCGTCCCGGGCCCGCTCGTAGGCCGCCTGCACCGCGCGCACGTGGGCCGGCAGCCCCTCCCAGAAGCGGTGCAGCCGCGCGGGCCGGGGCGACACCAGCTGTCCCGACGGCTGCAGGCGCCAGAACCAGGGGCCTGCGGGGGACGGGGCGGGGGCCACGTGGGCGAGGGGTCTGCCTGCAAACCGGGGGGCTGCGCGGACCTGGGGTGAGCAGCATCCGGCCTGCTAAGACCTTGAGTGTGCATGTGTGTGCACGTGTGTGTGGGACTCAAACCCAGGGCCTGGGCGCTCTCCTTGAGCTTTTGTGCTCAAGGCTAGCTCTCTACCGCTTCAGCGGGTTTTCTGGTGGTTAATAAGAGTCTCAGGGACTTTCCTGCCCAGGCTGGCTTTGAACAGCGATCCTCAGACCTCAGCCTCCAGAGTCAGGATGACAGGTGTGAGCCACCAGCACCACTTTCTTTTTAAAAAAAAACAACAACAGGCCTGGCACCGGTGCAGGAGAGTCTGTGAGACTCTTATCTCCAATGAACCACCAGGAAACCAGAAGTGGCGCTTGTGGCTCAAGTGGAAGAGCGCTCACCTTGAGCTGAAGGGCCAGAGTTAAAGCCCCATGACCAAAACAAAACAAGCAAACAAAAAGTTCCACTGCCAGGAAACCCTGCAGCCCGCGTGGGCCTCCTGAAGTCGGTCAGAAGCTAAGTATGGGATGGGGGGGCACGACCCAAGAGCCTCACCTTTGAAGAAGAAGATCTCCCCACGGATGTTGGCAATGGCGTCGAAATTGCCTTCACAGCGATCAGGAACGGGTGTGGAGGGGCTGGGGAGGAAGGGGAGTGAGCTGGGGCCTGGGCTCCCCCCATTTCTGACCTTAGGCCACAGCCCTGAGGGCAGGGTTCAGCCTCTGGGGGACACTGAGGTAGGAACAGGTCACTCAAGAGAAGATCGCCCAACCCCTGGGCACTCACCTGTCCGGGGGCAGGGCCGGGGGCGGGGCTGGGGGCCCCAGGGGCTTCCTGGTGGGCCTGTCATAGGGGGTGTGCGATGCTCTCCCTGTGGGCAGTGAGTTAGGCAGAGGTGGGCTTCCAAGCCCCCACCCGGCCTGTCTGCATGTCCCCGCTCCTCTTACCATAGAGCTGCGTCAGGCCATCGCGGTCATCTTGGGACAGGCGGTACTTCTCGGGGTCACCCACCGGGCCCTGATAGAAAGGCCTCATAATGGAGTTGGGTGCGGAGGAATGGCCCAGGCCCAGGGCATGGCCAAACTCGTGAACCGCCACAGCAAACAGGTCGATTCCATCATCGTCTGGAGGAGGAGGGGACAGGGGGCTGAGATAAAGGCGCCCCTTACCAGGGAAGGAGACCTGGGGGCTGGGCTGGTGACCCGCAGGAAGCCTTGGGGCTGGGCAGACTGTCATTCCTGCCTTCCTTCATTCATGCAGCAATGTCTGTCTGTCCCCCACCTTCAGGATTAAACCCAGGACCTAGGCTTGCTTGGCAAACACTACCGCTTGAGCCATGTCCCCAGCCTCTTGTTAATACTGCGTCCCCTAATTTCCCATGGGCTGATCTGGAACTCCGGATTCTCCCACCTCTGCCTCCCCAGTAGCTGAGATTACAGGTGTGCACCACTGCACAGGTCCCAGTCAGCAGATACCTTTGAGTAGCCTTGTTTGGCAGTGCCGACGCTGAAGCCCAAGACTAAAGAGACCCACGAGAGGACAGAAGAGAGGTGTGTGTATACAGTAAGGCTTTTTCCCATGGGGAGGAAGCCCGCAGACACTACTATTTTCAGGGGGGATGAGGCAGGAACTCAGGGTGCCTGTAGGTCTCTCCAGAGTCCCAGCCCTTGCCGCCTGCCTTCCCTCCTCTCAGCTTTGGTCTGTGCTATTTTTCCCCGTCCTGTGGTCCACATCTCCAGAGACTCAATTCCCTCCCCATGTCTGGGGTCTCTACCCTGCCCCACACTGGCCTTCTGCCTGACTCTTCCCAGCACTTGGGGCTCCCTCCCCCCCCCCCCCCAGGCACTCTCAGACCACAGCCTGCTGCTACCTCTGCATTCAGAGATCAGCTGTGGCCTCTTCCCACACCGCAGGCCTCCCGGGGATCCAGCCCCAGCCAGGACCAGAGCCTCTTCCTGCCAATCAATCGACCGCTCCGGCAGGGAGAGGCCTCGCCCCAAAGACACTGAGGAGAGCTGGACAAGCCCCAGCAGATGCTGATCTAATTCATGGAAATCTCTAGCCAGGGTTAGTGACACTGAAAGAGAGATTATTGGAAGTGATGGAGTCCATTGACCTTTGAGACTGGGGGCATGGTTCAATGGTAGAACTTTTAGCAAGCAGGAGGCCCTAAATTCAGACTCAGGTGCCCCTACCAAAAAACAAACAAAGAAACTAGAAAAAGGAAAGAAAAGCAACTTGCCCTCAGCCCAGACGAACAGAATGTAAGAATAGCAAACACTCCAAACTTCTGCCTCCTCTTCTCCCTTTTACAGAGGGGGAAACTGAGGTACAGAAAGGGTGAGGGTGGGGGCAGAGCCAGGGATGACACTGCGAGTGTCCGCAGGTGTGCTGCTCAAATGCAGGTAAGGGATGAACTTCCGCACTGGCTCTACATCTTCTGATGCTCTGTATCCAGCGTGCGTGCCCGCGCGTGTGCCAGTACTGGAGTTTGAGCTCAGGGCCTGGGCTCTGTCCCTTTTCTCATCAAGCATGGCATGCTAACACGTGAGCCACACCTCCACTTCGGGCTTTCTGGTGGTTAATTGGAGATAAAAGTTTCACACTTTCCTGCCTGGGCTGACATTGAACCGCGATCCTCAGCCCTCAGCCTCTTGAGTAGCTAGGATGACAGGCGTGAGCCACCGGCGCCCGCCTGGTCTCTGTATACTTTTTCTGAGAGATCAGAGGACGTTGTCTGGATCGTGCGGCTCTCCTCTCATTTTCCTTTCTCGCCTTCTCTTTCTTTGGTCGCAGGATCTTCCGGGCTAGGTCCCCTTCCTGAATCCTTCCTATGCAATGAAGCTGGAGGAAATCACACCGCTGTGCAGCTCCGGCCTGGTAGGCAGCGTGAAAGCACCCTCGTCCCTCCTCCCAGAAATCACTGTGCTGGGATAGGCCGGAAACACCTTAGCCTGTTCAGATCCACCGTCTCTGTGCTAGGACTCAGCCTCAGTCCCGCCTTTGGGCGGCAGACGCCGACACTTGCACCCTGTTTCAACGCACAATCATGCTGGCTTCTAGTGCCCATGGGGGCAGACAGTTTCACTCTCCCACGCCTGTCTCCTGCCTCTTGTCCTGTGGGAGGACCTTGCTTCAACTCAGCGGCTCTTCCCCTCCCAGCAGTCCCTGCATCCATGCACCCGGGCCACACCCCTTTCTTCCTATTGGCTCATCCCAACTCCACTTAGAGATGCTCTCCGGACCTGGTACCCAGGGCTCCTCAGCCACACTCCTGTCCGCCTGCCCTCTGCAGCCAAGTTCCCCAGTGAGCTGAACTCGGTCTCCTCTCCTCCTCGGGTTGGAGTTGGAGTCCTTCCCCATCTACGCAGCCTGCAGCCACAAAAGGGTCACTTGGGTTGAGTGCCAGTGGCTCGCATCTGTAATCTTCACTCCTGAGGGAGGCTGAGATCTGAGGAGGTTGGTTCAAGGTCAGTCCTGGTGGGAAAGTTCATGAGACTCTTTTCTCCAATTAACTACCAAAAAGCCAGGAATGGAGGTGTGGCTCAAGTGTTGGAGAAAAATAAGGGACAGAGCCCAGGCCCTGAGTCAAACCCCTGGACCCCCAAAAAAATAAAAAAAAAAGGAAAGGTCACTTGTTCCCGGATGGCCATGTCCAGGCCGGGTAACTTACTGGACTTGTTTGTGTCTGACCACTTCCTCCTTCGTTCCTGTCTCATCCCCTCGGCCTGTCCCTTCGCCTCCGTTAGCCCCCCTCCCCGCTGCCCACCCCTCAGCCGGGGCTCTCCAAGGCTCTGAACTTGACCTTCACTTTTGCTGCTTTCTTCCTGGTGACCTTCCCAACCCTCCAGAATCCTCCAATGTGCCGGCAGGCCCAGCCCCCACCGCGCTGGCGGCGGAGAGATCACCACGGGGCCCGTGAAGAGCCCGCAAACCACACTGCTGCCAGGAACTCCTCTTCCCATTTCTCAGGTGAGAAGACAGTGCCCTGAGGGTGAGGAACTTGCTCACGTTAGAAACAGAGGAACCCCAAGTGGCGGCAGAATCCACCGGCTTCGACTTAGGGGTGGCTCAGCGGTCGCACGTTGAGGCCCTGGGCCACCCCCAGTACTGCGGATCAATGCGGAAGCCTGCCTGCCCGCCTGCTCCCGCAGGACACAGCCCTGTCTCAGCGCCGCCTGTCACTGGCTGCCAATCCCCGTCTCGGCGCCAGCCCTGGCTGCCCCTTCCCCACACAGGCGCCCACAGCAGCCTGCAGCTCATGACTGGTCCACCGGCCCGAGGAGAGCGACCCCCCACATGCGTGCACACACGCATGCACACGTGTGCCTGCTGCGGAACTCCGTGGGACCAGGCTGCTCTCCGGCTGAGACCACAACCTCACCCAGCTCCTCACCCTCGCCTGCTTCTCTTTCCCCTGAGAAACTGCTTGCACAACCATTTCCACGAGGAGCTCTCCGCTTGTGGGGAACCCAGCCCAGGATGGAGGAGTCCAAGTTGTGGTGCGAGATAGGCCATGCTGCGGGGGCTCACGCCTGTCACGCTGGCTGCTCAGGAGGCTGAGATCTGAGGATCACGGGTTGAGGCCAGCCCCGACTGACAAATCCATGAAACTCTTTTCTTCAACGAACCACCAAAGCTGGAGGTGGAGCTCGGGTTCAAGTAGTGGGGAACCAGCCTCAGTCACAAAAATGAAGGGACAGCACCCAGGCCCGGAGCGGAAGCCCTTGCACTAGACATGTGCACACGCACCCGCACACACACACACACACACACACACACACACACACGGAACATCCAAGCACTGTGAACACTTGCCCTGCCCGGCACCTTGGCCCCCTGCCTCTCCCCACACCTCCCCTGCGCCAGGGCTACTTCCAGAATGCATCACCACTGGACAGCTCCCGACGCTAGCTTTCAGATCCCCGTTGGCCAAACCCTGCCACGGGCTTTCCCCTGCCGTACAGCCCCGCTCTCCTCTGCACTGCCCCCGCCCCCCGCCCCCCCTCAGATGTCCGGGGTCACATCTCCCTTTGGTGGCTCCTCACTGCGCGCCCTGTGCATTCCAGGGCGGGACCTTGTCCATGTGGCCTAGGCTGTGTGTGTGTGTGTGTGTGTGTGTGTGTGTGTGTCTTGCCCTGTAATCCAGGCTGGCCTGACGCTCTCAGTCCTGTTGCTCCCCAGGGCTGGGACAGCAGGCATGTAGCACCATGCCGGGCACACACACGCACGCAGAATGAACCGACACCGAGCCAGCGCGTCCCGGGCGCGTCCTGTGGGAACGCACCGGCTGCGGACTGACTTCCGCTGCCACCTCAGGCTGCTGTGTCACCGCGTGTGTAGTAAGTCACCGCCAGTCCCCTTCCGCCTCAGCTGTTTTTTGTTTGTTTTTGTTTTTGTTCCTGGGGCTGGAACTGAGGGTCTGGGTGCTGTCCCTGAGCTTTTTTTTTTTTTTTTTTGCGCAAGCTGGTACTATATGACTTGAGCCACAGCTCCTCTTCTGGCTTTCCAGTGGTTAAATGGAGAGAAGAGTCTCACAGCCTTCCCTACCCGGGCCGGCTTTGAACTGCACTCCTTAGATCTCAGCCTCCTGCATAGCTAGGATTATAGGCTTGAGTCACCAGTGCTGGTCCTGCTCCAACTCTGCGAGCTGGGCTGACTTACAGAGAGGTGACAGAGAGGTTGTGTGGACGCTGGGAGCCGCCAGCCCAGCTCACACACAGCTGGGCACCCAGCCGGCCTCTGTGATGCTTAATTTGTTAATTTGGCGATGCCCAAGAGTTTGGTCAAATGCAAACCCAGCTGTTGCTGCAGTACACTGCAGATTTGATTGACAACCGCTCTAAGGAATTTAATCAGCCAAATGTGGGTGAGCTTCAGTCCAATCAGTTCAAACTCTGACCTTTCTCCCCAAACTGGCTTTGAACTTCCATCCTCAGATCTCAACCTCCCCAGCAGCTGGGATTACAGGCGTGAGCCACCAGCGCCGTGTATGCGACATGAATTTCAGCTTAGTTCTCCAGGACAGACTGAGCTGGGGAGAGGATTTCTTGGGACATGGGAGATTTTTACCTTTTGATCCAAAAGTCCAGGTCTCCTCATCGTCGAAGTGGGTGTCCCCAGAAATGGGGTGCTCCCCAGGGAAGAAGGCGTGGGCCAGTGTGCCACCCTGCCCGTCAAAGGGATAGCTGTCTTGGTGGTAGGCCCGAGTGAAGTCGATGAGGATGTCGGGCTCCTGGGAAGCGACCTCCTGGAACGTGAGGCTGGACTCCACGCCCCAGACGTCCAGGGCGATTTTCATGAGGTAGCGCACAGCGTCCGCGCTCAGCCCCGAGCTCTGCGGGAAGGACTGCACCCTGGGGAGAGGACACAGGGAGCGCGGGGCTGGGAGGGGAGGCCACGCCACCCGGCCAGGGAAGGGGACCCCGGGACAGACCTCCACGTCAGGGCCCGCTTCTTCCACATGCTCCCGCTGAGGGCATAGCGGCGGCGGCGTCTCACCAGCCCCGCAGACCCCAGGACGTCGGGCAGCGAGCAGCGAGGCTTCTGCATGGCAGCTATGGTCTCTGGGTCTGTGGGAGACAATGGAGGGTGTGAACCAATCCTTGGGCTTGAACTCAGGGCCTGGGCGCTGTCCCTCAGCTCTTCAGCTCAAGGCCAGCGCTCTGCCACTTGAGCCACAGTGCCACTTCTGGTTTTCTGGTGGTTTATTGAAGAGTCTCACAGACTTTCCTGCCCAGGCTGGCTTTGAACCGGTCCTCAGATCTCAGCCTCCTGAGTAGCTAGGATGACAGGCGTGAGCCATCCGCAGCCGGGCTACCACCTAACTTTCTACACAGAGAGCCCGAGGCTTAGAGAAGCTAAGACATTTGCCAAAGGCTCCACAGCCCACATTTGAACCTCGGCATCTCCGGAAGACATTCATGCCACACAATTTCCACTGACCTCGGTGGGCAGCGCCCTGTGTGACTCTGGGTGGACTGGGCATTCCTGGGTGCTCAGAGCTGAAAGCCAGGCCTCGTACCCCACCAGCAGACCCTCTAGAAAGGAGGCTGGGGGAAGGCAAGGCGTCCTCCTTTGGGGCTCCTGTCCCTCTCCATAGGGCCAATGAAATTCCCAGTGGGAAGGCGGGGGTGGGCGGGTCCATGGGCGGCCAGTGTTGGGCCTCTTGGGTGAGTGCTGCCTGGAATTCCCTTTTCTAGTGGGGCACCATTACAGCCGCCACCTCCTCTTCAAATTAAGGTCAAACCACACTGGTTGAAGCGGCAGGATGTAATGCCAAGGCTCTGCTCAGGCTGCCCGTTCAGAGAGCAAACAGCACACAACCAAATCTTGCCTCGCAGCTAGCCAGATCCTTCTCCCGCACCTTTAACTCCACAGAAGAGGCCTCAGCTCTACCTCCAAAATCCACACTGAATCCACACCTCACCCTACTCCAGCCTACCACGCTCCCCTCCCCCAGTGCTACCACCACCTCCCGCCAGTCCTGCCCACTGCCTGCCTTCTCTGCTCCACCAGCAACTGTGTAAAACAGAAAATCAGAGCCGGAACAGCAGCAGGTGCCTGCAATCCCAGCCACTCAGGGAGGCCGAGACAGGGGAACCACAAGTTTGAGAGACCAAGATAGACAACATCAGGACAGCACTCAGCACTAACTGACGTCATCTTGCACCCGGATCTGCTGTCTGTCTCCCTCACACGTTAAGTGCCGTAAGAGGGGTGGACACACATCAGCTTTGTCCGCCACTGTAGCCAGAAACCTGAGATGGCCTGGCACCCCAGAGATTCCCTAGAAAGGTTGTTTTAAGATGAAAGCTGGCGAGCCTCCAGGGCAGGACCAAGCCTCAGCTGGGCGTCCTCCCAGCTCCGGGGACCCAGTCACAGGCTGAGATTTAACTTTGGCTGGAGCAGGTGCCGTTAGCTCACGCCTGTCATCCTAGCTGCCCAGGAGGCTGGGATCTGAGAACCTCAGTTCGAAGCCAGCCTGGACAAGAAAGTCGGGAGACACTGATCTCCAGTGAACCACGGAAGAGCTGGAAGTGGAGCTGTGTGCTCAAGGGGTCGAGGGCTAGCCTGGAGGGGGAAAGCTGAGGACCAGCGCCAGGCCCTGAGTTCGAGTCTCAGAACCGTGAGTGCGTGCGCGCCCCCCCAAACACACGCATGCACACACGCACACCACTGCTGGGTCACGGTCAAGCAGGCGGGACACCTACCCAGCGAGCCGGTCTCAGGCAGCCCCGCGAACCTCTGCATGAGCCTCAGGGCGTCGTGCAGCCGGGCGGCGCTGCGCAGCTGGGCCTGGCCGGGGTCCGGGGCGGGCAGGTAGCCGTAGCGCGTCAGCCAGTCCTGGGCCGTCAGAGGGGGCGCGTGGAGCGGGCGGTGTGTCGGGGGAGAGGCCGGGGCTCCCCCTCCCCGGCCGCGCGCTCCCGCGGGGTCTCCGCCCGGCAGGTGCCCGGCCCCCGCCCCCCGCCCCGGGGCCTCGGGACGGAGCCCGCGCCCCGACCGCATCCCCGCCCGCTCGGCCCGCGCCCCCCGCGCCCCGACCGCATCCCCGCCCGCTCGGCCCGCGCCCGCGCCCCGACCGCATCCCCGCCCGCTCGGCCCGCGCCCCCCCCCCCCCCCCCGCGCCTCGACCGCATCCCCGCCCGCTCGGCCCCCGCCCCCCGCGCCCGCGCCCCCGCCCGCTCGGCCCGCGCCCCCCGCCCCCCGACCGCATCCCCGCCCGCTCGGCCCGCGCCCCCCGCGCCCCGACCGCATCCCCGCCCGCTCGGCCCGCGCCCGCGCCCCGACCGCATCCCCGCCCGCTCGGCCCGCGCCCCCCCCCCCCCGCGCCTCGACCGCATCCCCGCCCGCTCGGCCCCCGCCCCCCGCGCCCGCGCCCCCGCCCGCTCGGCCCGCGCCCCCCGCCCCCCGACCGCATCCCCGCCCGCTCGGCCCGCGCCCCCCGCGCCCCGACCGCATCCCCGCCCGCTCGGCCCGCGCCCCCCGCGCCCCCGCGCCGCGCCCCGCGCTCACCACGCCCAGGCTCACGTCCTGCGCCGCGGGGTCCGGGGCGCGCGCGGGCGGCGGCCGCAGCAGCAGCAGCAGCGCCAGCAGCCGCAGAGCCCGCGGGGGCCCCGGCGCCCGCCGCCGCCGCATGGCGCTCGGGCCGGGCTGGGTGTGGGGACGGCGGAGGGCGCAGCGAGGAGGGGCGGGGGCCGGGTCGGTGCTTCGCGGCCCGCGGGCGGACGGCGGGTGCGGAGCGCGGCGGGCGCGGCGGGGAAGTGGCCGGACCTTCGACGTGCGGCGGGCGGGCGGGCGGGGAGGGCGGGGCGGGGCGGGCGCAGGGGCCGCCCCGCGGGCACCGGGGCCGGGGTCCCCTCCCCGGAGAGCGGGCGCCGGGGCGGACGCCTGGGGCGGGGCCGGACGCCCCGAGCTCCCCCGCCCCAAGTTTCTCTTCCCGGATCGCGGCGCGCTTCTGCGTGCCCGGGGCGCACGGCCGCCCCGCCCGCCCTCCCCCTCCGCGCCCCTCCCCCTCCCTCTTCCTCGTCCCCCCTCCCCCTCCGCGTCCTCCCCCCCCCCCCCGACCCCGCCGGGCCGGCAGCCGCAGCGCCGGGGGACTTCCGGGCAGCGGGAGGCCGGGAAGGAAGCGCCGGGTCCCCGGCCCGGATCCTGTGGCCCCCGGCCCCGGCCGCGGCGTCTCCGGACCCCGCTGGGGGTGGGGGGGGAGCGCCGGGCATTCAGAGCCGAGGCCGGAGCGGGGCCGGGCGGGCGGGCGGGCGGGGCCGGAGGACCCGCGGTGACTTCGACGGGCTGCGGGGACGGCGAACCGCAGCGCCGGCCTCCGGTCCTCCGCGCCCGGCCGCGCGCGCGCGCACGCGGGGCGGCTCCGCGGAGTCCCGGTGCCCACGGCCCCGCGGCCGGCGGGGCGTCCCGGAGACCCTGCGCGCCGCCGCGCTCCCGCGCCTCCGGGCCTCGCGCCTGGGCTCCCAGCGGCTCCAGCAACGGGGTTCAAAGCCAGCCTGGGGGAGCGGGAGACTCTGGTCTCCAATGAACCATCCAAAAGCCAGAAGCGGAGGTGTGGCTCCAGGGGTTGAGACGTGTGAAGAGCGCCAGCCTTGAGCATCTAAAGTAAGAGTCGAGTAAAACAGGCCCCAGGTTCAAGCCCTAGCAGCAGCAGGAGAACCATAATAAGAAAGAGCTGTGAGGGGTGGTGATGCAGCGGGGGGCCGCCCTGGGCTGTGCCACCAGAGCCTCGGCCTAGGCCGCCGCCTGGCTGAGATCCTTGCTGTGGTGATAGCAGGGTTTTATGGCTGTCCTAGGATAGGGTTAACCCTGCACTCCAGATCTGCAGTTGGGGATGGAGGAAGTGTAGGCATGAGAACCCTTTTATCTCCCCGCCCCAGGCTAGGACTTGAACTGGGTCTCTGACACTTGCACTCATTGACTGGTTGGCTGGTGCTCTACCACCTGAACCACGCCTCCAAACCCCAACCCTTTGATTACTCATGGATTCTTTCTCTCGGGAACAGGATGGCCAGGAGGGGGTTTTATCATGGTTAGGGTGAGGATTCCACCAAACTGGCCAAGACTTTTGGGATTTACATTTCTCTCCTGTGGGAGGAAGCGCAGGGAGGTGTGAGCTTGCCCTGGTGTGGACCAAGAGCGCGGAGGGAGGCATGGAGCTTTAACACACTGCAATGGACTCTGCATTACAGGACACCAATGGCAAGCACCTTGGTAATCCGGTTGTTACTGAACAAAAATGGCAACAAACGCGCCCCTCCTCCCCCGCCCCAGGTGCCAGCATGGAGAAGCTGCCTGTAGACTTGGCCTGTGCCATCTTCCTGCAACTTCATGGAATCTTGGCAAGAAGCACCCAGCAGAACCATGCCAACCTTCCTACCATGAGACCCTGGTACAAAGAGGGCTGGGGGAATGCAGAAGCAGGAGGTGGCCTAGAAGACCGCAGACCGCCCATGACTTCCTGTGTGGATCATTCGAGCCCAAACCAGAGCAACTGAAAGCAGATTTGAAATTGCCACGGGCTAGAGACGGAGAAGACACATTGACTACAACGGGCATAGCATCCTAGCTATTCAGGAGGCTGAGATCTGAGGATCACAGTTCAAAGCCAGCCCAGGCAGGAATGTCCCATGAGACTCTTATCTCCAGTGAGCCATCAGAGAACTGGAGTGGCACTGTGGCTCAAGTGGTAGAGCACTCACCCTGAGCTGAAGAGCTGAGGGACTGCCCAGGCCCAGAGTTCAAGCCCCATGACTGACAAAAGAAAAAATGGGGGGTGTAGCAAAATTTGGGGGTGATTGCTCATGATTGTGGTGATATTATACTGCTGCTTTTTTTTTATTTTTAATACAAACTCCCTTCAATGAAATGGGACAGGAATGGTAGGTAGCTCATGCCTGTAACCTCAGCCTTCTGGAAGCTGAGGTAGGACTGAGAATTTGAGGACAGCTTGAGCCACATAGCAAGTTCAAGGACAGTTAGGGCCACATGGTAAAACAAAATTGAAAGGGGAGAGGAGGGGAGAGCAGAGAGGAGGCCACAGAGATTCAGAGAAGACTCCGAAGGCAGGACTCTGTGGCACCCAGGCAGAGCACTATGATGCAGCTGCAAGCCAAGGCATGCTGGCTGCCTCCCATCACCACAGGCTAGGAAAGAATCAGGGAACAACATTGCTCTCAGAGCCTCCAGGAACCGGCTGTGGCCCCTGCAGCCCTCCAGGACGGACAGAGATAACATTGCTGCTGTTTAGATCCCCAGTCATGGTGTTCCATTGGCCCACTCAAATTGATCAGAGCAAGCTGCAGTCTGTTTAGCTCCATAGAGACGGAGCTGGGACAGCTGGGATGGAGAGGGGCTGGAGCAAGCCTGTGCCCCACCAAAGCAAAGGAAGAGCAGACGGACAGATTGTCATTGGCTTCTTTGTGCAGCTTGGCTGGGAGGAGCCAAGGAGACACCACACCAGGGACCGCCAGCTCCTCCGTGCTTCCTGGAAAAGGCTGGGCGAGCAGGGAGACCCCGTCCCCTAAAGAGGAAGAGAGATTTGAAGACACAGCAAAGGTACACTAGGTCTGCTATGAAAGAGAAAAACCACAACTCTCCTAAAAGGGAAACAGAAAGACTGAAGAATTCCCAGTGCGCCCAAGAGCAGCCGTCAGCTTTCTTGTTCTTAGTATCGCCTGAGAATGGAAGGGGAAGCCAGGCCTGGGCGAGCGCGCCTGCCATCCAGCAATCAGGAGATGGACGACTGGAAGCATGAGACAGTCTAGAGGAGATGTCACATTCAAGAGGCTGGACGCTGACGGCTCACACGTGTCATCCTAGCTGCTCAGGAGGCTGATCTGAGGATGGAGGTTCAAAGCCTGCTTCCTCAATGTTCCACGTGAGCAAATGTTACGTTTAGGGTGAATGATAAGTCCGTGTGTCTGGCATTCTTTCCTCAGTGTGCGCTGTAACTGGGGCTTGAACTCAGAGCTTTGTGCTTGCAAGTCAGATGCTCTCCCCCCGCCCTCCCCACACGCTTTTTTTATTTCGTTGCTTGTGGGGCTTGAACTCGGGGCCTGGGCGCTGTCCCTCAGCTCTTCAGCTCAAGGTGAGCGCTCTAGCACTCGATCCACAGCGCCACTTCCATTTTCTGGTGGTTCATTGGAGATAAGAGTCTCACAGACTTTCCTGCCCAGGCTGGCTTTGAACTGTGATCCTCAGATCTCAGCCTCCTGAGTAGCTAGGATGACAGGCGTGAGCCACTGGCACTTGGCTTTTATTAGTTCTTGCTACCTACTAATTTTCGTTTGGGGTTTGGCTACACCATTAGGCTATTTATTTGAGATCTCTTTGTGTTTGTTTGATTGTTTGCGTTTTAAACTGGGCACTCGGAGCTATGAACTTCCCTCTCAGCCCTGCACAGTGTGAAACATTTTATATAAAGGTTGAAATGCTCCAAACAATAGTAGTCATTGCTGAAAGCCTGGAGGCGCCCTGGTCTGAAACACAGCCATTCCCGGCCTGTCTTCTGTGCCCAAGCTCTGGGAGGGCAGTGGAGTGCTGTGGCCTCTGATAGGTCATGGTGTGGTGACATCTGGGAAGGCTTCCTGGGGGAGGAGGCAGCTTTGCCCCATTTCCTCTGGACAAGCGGTGGAGGGCTTTGCAGCTGGGGATGAGCCAGGCGTTTCCAGAGAGCTGGCTTGCTTGAGACAAGGCTGAAGAGCAGGTACAACTCTCCCTTTCTGTGTGTATAGCGTGTGTGTGTGTGTGTGTGTGTGTGTTGGTACTAGGGTTTGAACTCAGGGCCTCACACTCTTGCT